GAAATCTTTTTGACATTGCATAGTTTTAGATATTATTTCTAATAATTCTTTCATGGATCTTGGAACATGATCAATCTATTCCTATGGACAGAAGCCCCATAAAAAGGATGAACATTTGGGCACTGAGTCAGACTGGCCCAATCTAGACTTGGTCTGCCTATCATTGTTAAACCAATCTTGCAACTTGGGTGGGTCAACCCAAGTGCAATCAAACCTCAACCTGATATGTGTTCGGATTTCAGTTACTGTTTTCTTGGCTCAAAATCTTGTTGGCCTGTTTCTTTAGGCATTTGGGCTGGTTTTTAGCCCCTGTTTTCTCTAATAAATTGGCAGCTCTGTTGTGGGCTAATTGTTTCATTTGTGGGCCTTGGCCTTTTATTGTATAGCTTTTCCCTTCCTCCTTAGTTTATTCATTTATCCAACATAAACATGGTCAAAAGTAAGGTGGGAAGTTCAAACTTGGATTTTACTGCCTTTGGGTCCACTGGACCCAAGGCCCATAACAAAGCAAAAATTGACACCAAGGTTGACTTCAAAATTTTGGTTAGCAATAAAGTTGATGATGAACATTATTATTATTATATACGTATTATTTATATATGCTCCCCATTAAGCTCGCTCTTGTCAAGACCTTCCAACCACATTAATTACTTAACATAACTAATACTAACCGCCCACTTAATCACCTTCACACTCACACGGCCTCAACGTTATCTCCAACCTTCCTACAATATACTTAGCCATTAAAATAACATTTGACTTTTGAACCAATATTGTAACACAGCTAAATTAAGTTTTATAAACTATATAATAACGTCGGGTTAATCCGAGTAATTAGTGATTAAAATTTTAAAACTTTACCGTATCAGTGATAATAGAAAAGGATTACAAAGAAATGATTATTTAAAGGTTATCATTGAGCTTGGGACTGAAACAAATACAATATTGTTTGGTTACGGGATTGGAACAACAACATCTAACAAAAATAATTAAGATTCGTTTGGAACCATAGTTACTTTGTGTTTTTACTTTGATCCAAAGTAGAAGTAATTATTTTACTTTGAAGTGTGTTCAATACTATCTGAAAGCTTATTTGGTAACTTATATTTGTTGCAAGATTTTTTAAAGCAAAAATATCAAAATATGTTTGGTAAAAAGAGTGTTGCACATTTAAAAATTTAAATGGCTAGTTAAAAAATGTTATTTTAGAGTTTTTTTTTTTCTTCGGTTTTTGCCTCTTTTTCAAAAGTGCTTCAGTGAATTGAATAGCCAGTTAGTTCATAATGTGATTGGATGGATTTCCGACTTTTAAAATGAAATTCTCGAATCAATATCATTTACACACTTGTGTAAGTTGGGATCCGTTTGTACTTTGTACAACATACCGAATCAAAACCCAAAATTCTCTATAAGGCCAAATTAAGTTGATTTAGGAAGACAGATAATGTTTCCATTTTCACTAATAACCTTTTTTCATAGAAATTTAAACCAACAAACTGGTTACAATATAGATAGAAATCTGAACCCTCGTCCCCAAAGTCTATGGATGAATCCATTTTTCAAGCTTTTGAAACCAGAGATGCAATGTTTGAGTGTACTGACTTTGGGTAATGTAAAGATAATTAGTTATAGTTTAAAATCTCGTCAATGTAATTTTCCATTAGTATAGAAATTAATTTTTAGTAATAAATTGATTATGCCCCTCTCATTCTCTCTCTCTCTCTCTCTCTCTATATATATATATATTATCTTTGTTTTACTTTTTTTATTATTATTAAAAAAAAACTTATAAATCTTAATTACATTCTGCAACATGTTTAAATTAAAAAACAAAAAGATTAGATTTGACGACCTATTTGAGGACCATGAGTTTTATGCCATATTATATGGTAATTTAAATCCAATCGTCAAAGATTTCATTTTATCTTCTTAAATAGAATAAGATTAGTTAAAAAAGTTAATTTCCATATTGAAAGGTATACTTTTGCATTATGCTCCAATAGTGCATTTCATTCAAAATGCTATTTTTTGATACAACAATTATTCATATTTTGAGAGTTGCCTTATTTTCATTTCAACAGCTTTTGAGAATCTCAAAATATGAGAGGCCTTTTAAGAGAGTCCATTGGAGTGCCTATATTCACTTACTATATTTTTGAGTTTAAGAGATCATTTGAGAACTGTTATAATTGAGAATACATTTGAGAATCTCAAAATATGAAAGGTCTTTTGAGAGGCCATTAAAGTGTCTTATTTTCATTAACCTGCTATATTTTGAGTTTGAGAGTCCATTTAAGAGGTCATTGGAGATGCCCTTAGGTATTATCAAGAACGGATTTATAGTGGGGCCAGTCACTCCCACTGAATTGTTATATACTACTAAATTTTTTATTTTTTATTATTTTATTTTTATTTTTATTTATTTTTTGTATTATATACCCATAAAATTTTAACATTGCCCCAACTAAAATGAAAGAAAATTCAACTATATAATTTTCTAGGTCGATCGCTGCTATTGTTACCCACCTATCTATTTATACCTATTATACTCCTATTCACTTTCCATCCAAATTTGGTGTGGATTAAGACCATTTGGTAGGCATTTATATAAGAGTGTGTGTGTGTGTGTATATATATATATATATATATATATATATATATATATATATCTTATGCTTGTACACGTTTTACATTTGGTGTAATACTAGCATGATTGTTTTTACACATTCTCATACATGTGAATCCGAATTTTTTAATCAATGCACAAAGGGATGCCAATTGGATACATTCTAAAAATACGTTTCTTAGACCAAAAATGAAACAAAACAAGGGAGAAGACATACAAGACTCCAATATAAATATAAGATTGATGAAGATAAGAAGAAGCTAGCATGGTGGTTGTGGGTATATATCATATGATTATGATTATTAAAAATTAATAAAGCTGGCGTATTGCTTTGTGGTTTGATGTTATACTCCTTTCCGACCACTTTCTGAATGGCTTAACTACACTTTCAAACCTTCAACCTCTTATTTTATTCTTAATACCAACTAAGACTGTCCCCTTCTCCACCCACTTATTATTTTGATAAACAAAGGCCAGCCACTATACACTTTTTGCCCCCCAAATTGATTACTTATTATTATCGTGCTCCATATTAATCCAATATAAAAAAAAAAAATTCAATTAAGAATAGTCAAAACATCATAATAAGATATATATTACAAAGAAATTAGAATATGAGTTTTAATTGAAAGATAAAATGTACTTAGAATGCTGTTATATATTTCGAAAATCAGTATTGGACATGTGTGGTGTTGCCACTAAGCAAATAAAGAGTTAGTTAAATAACAAGACATGAGGGCCGAACAAATATCTAATCTTTATCTTCGAGTTTTTGTTGTGTTTAAGAAAAAAAAAATTAGATGAATGTAACAAACCAGGGTATCTTGTTCTACTGTATTGTCTGAGAGGAATGAAGGATGGCACTGCAAATAAAAAAATTAGGTTAATTTCTTGCAGTTTGATGGAATGAAGCTTAAAACAAGTATATTTCTTATTGTATTTTCATCCCATGCTTCCTTGTCCTTCTTGAGACACTCACCAAACCTCAACCTTTATTTAATTCAAACTTCTTCCCCTTTTTATATTTGTATCTTGGACATCTGTAAGTTTTGTTTGGTTTGATAAATATATGATGTGAAGTGCTTCATGTAATAGGAGAAGTTCAAAATATTGCTTCTTATGGCTTTGGGCTAACTCTGGCTTTTCTACTTCTTTGGATTTGGGCTCCAATATTATGGATAGGTCTGACCCAGAATGAACTAGGGTCAGGCCTTACAAACCAAAAGTGTCCTTTAAAAGGCAAAATTAAGCCCACCATTGGTCGTGTTAGATGTCTCAGTACTAGATTCCGCGGAAAAATATGCAAGCCCACGGTGTGTATTATAACCCATTCAAACACATTCAAAAGCATATGTTAATAGGATTATCTAATTACAGATAGGCCCATTAAGTTTTGGACTTTTCCAAAGCTGTAAAAATCATAAAGTTAGGTCTGAGAATTATTACCAATTTTTTAAATAGCTGTTATGGAAAAGAAAGGTGTTCCGAACTTCCCGTGCAAGCGAATTGTTCTTTAGAAATTTCTCTGATAAATTGAAGTTTAAAAAAATAAAAATAAAAAACAAAGTTTCAAATTTTCTAATTTAATTAATAATTCGAAGAAAAAAAAACCTTAAAGACTGACTTTTTGGTAACAACTACAAATATTAATATTTTTCGGAATAATAAATGGCAATTGTATTGATATGTAACAGTAGGAAGAAAACGGAGAGGCCATATAGGCACAGCCCAGGCTCAAAGAAACAAGGTGTTTAAAAAGTTAAAAAACAACAATTATTTTGCATCCAGAGCATATATATATATTTATATATGGCATAAATAATATTAAAAGACAAAATGACCTTAGAAAATAAACTAAAACAGAAATCAAGTCTATATACATAAAAACCCAAATCCCGCCAAATATTACGCGACGTATGTTTATTATGAATGTGACGCGCACGTGTTCTAACCGTCTGATATTCAACGGTCAATAACCAACCACCATTAACGGCTAGGTTAATGCATAAATGAATGTATGTATCGCTATCAATCACAACCGCAAATCTTGTGCGAGGTTAAGGCGTATCTACTTTAAAAAACTGAGTTTCTTCGTTTGCAGAAATATTGTGGATAATTGGACACCAAGGCAATATTGTGGGACCCACGGCATGGGTTGGCCCACCTTATTGAATATGAGCTTCTGAGTTTGGCCTTTTATGTATGAGCAATGGATGATAATATTTGGAAGTTAAAACACACACCCATTCTCCTATGGGCCACTAGGCCTTTTGGTCCACATATATATATTTAAACTCTTATGAGTTGAAAATGCTTATATTTTAAAAAATGCATATAAAATCCCTCTAGGCATTTTCCATAATAAAATAAATGAAGCCCAGATTTTGTTGTAAGGGCACACGGCCTCTGATATTTTGTATGCAATTGAAAACAAGTAAACAAGCACAGCTCTCACTCTATAAATAGCAGTCAATTAAGTGACCAACACATCATTAATACAACCAATCTCTATAGCAGCTACATTAATTTTGATCATGTCTCTAATTAATCTTAACTACTCCTTCCCTTTCCTTTTAATTAATGTAGCTCTCTTTTCTCTTCTGATTGCCTCTTGCTCATGCTTCAATCCCAAGCTGCTTAGTGTCTCAAAAATCCAATCTAATTCAGGTTGGTCTTTCGCTCCTGCAACATGGTATGGTAGCTCCAATGGCGCTGGAAGCGATGGTAATATATATATATATATATATATATATATATATATACATACATACACACACACACGTGTATAAAGTTTAATTGGCAACATATATATACATGTTTGACTAGTTATATATAATTGTAAGTTACAATATTTGATGTTATATATTGTTGTACATATAGGTGGGGCCTGTGGATATGTGAATGCTGTAGAGCAACCCCCATTCTCTTCCTTGATATCTGCTGGTGGTCCTTCTTTGTACCAATCAGGCAAAGAGTGTGGAGCTTGCTATGAGGTGATCATGACTAAAATCTACATTACTATATATATGTATGTGTGTGTGTGTATATATATATATATCATAAATTAATTGTTATTGTTATGATGGATTTCAGGTAAAATGCACAAACAATACAGCATGCTCTGGGGCTCCGGTAACAGTAGTGATAACAGATGAATGCCCTGGTTGTGAGTCTAATCATTTTGATTTGAGTGGCACTGCTTTCGGAGCCATGGCACTCTCCGGCCACGCAGATCAACTGCGTGATGCTGGTCGCTTACAAATACAATATAGAAGGTGGGTATATGCATGCCAGTACGATCACAAAACTGTATAATTTTTAAACTAATGTTCTGTTTTTTGGTCACTACATGATTTTGAACTATATAATTGTTTCTAGGGTTATATATCAATTTATTAATTAAATTGAATGGTCTAGCAGAGTACAGTGCAACTATCCCGGAGTTACCATAGCCTTCCATGTGGATGCTGGTTCCAACCCTAGCTACTTTGCTTCTGTAGTTGAGTACGAAGCCGGAGATGGTGACCTAGCCAGTGTTGATCTCAAACAGGCTCTGGACTCAGACTCATGGCAACCCATGCAGCATTCTTGGGGTGCAGTTTGGAAACTTGACGCAGGTTCCACGTTGACGGCCCCATTCTCTATTAAGCTCACTGAAATCGAGTCCGGGAAGACACTGGTGGCCAATAATGTCATACCCGCCGGTTGGCAGCCAGGAAAAACCTATAGATCTCTAGTCAATTTTTAATGGCTAGCAGTCTTTATATGTATTTACCTATGTATGAATAAGATAGAGTTACCCATTTTGGAGTAAATGTGGTCTGCTCGTCTTTTTTATTTATTGATATAACTGGTTTTTTTTCTACTCTCCAACTTGTACTTTAAAAAGGAGATGAAGTACTCCTATGTTACATGTGTTGGTGCATGTTATATTCAGTATATATTATGTTAGTTTTTATTTTAACCTAACTTAAATTTAGCTGGAAAAAAAAAAAAAAAAAAAAAATTAGCTTAACAAATAAGTTAAAATATAAAATATATACATATTATATAAAGAAATGTAAGTAAGAAAACTAACAAATTAGGTAGTTATAACTTATGGATACAAAATTATAAAATTATTAACATACCGAGGGAAATTACACGTATTTATGTTCTTAAGATAAATTTTTTTTTTTTTTGATAACCCAGAACTCCCCAAGACACGACCCTTAGGGCCCCACCCTGAAGCACCAAATTGGGGATACGGCAGCCTGCCCCACAGCTGCAATACCGGGTAAGTCGACGAAACTAGAGGCTTGGTAAAGGACTCGAACCCTGACATCCTGTGTGGCAGTCCCAAGCCCCACCATCACTGCTAGCCCGCGGGGGCTTCTTAATATAATTGCCAAACCATGAAGTCCATAATTCTTTTCCGAAATTCCGTACTTTGTGTAATTTCATTTTGTAAGTTCATAATTTAGTAATTGTGAATCCACAAGTTTAAATTTGCTAGTTTCGATCCCAATGTAATAATGTAATATCATTTTTAGGTATATAGCATAATGGTGTTCATTTTTCAGATGAAAACGGTTAACAATTTCTCTATTAAAAAAATATAATGATATGGAGTATATAGTTAGAATTTACGTCTGACTTTGAGGTGACATAGCCGTGTCAACAAACGTTATTTCCTTTCCTTTGCGACATAAAACACAAAAACGTTTCTCTCTCCATTAACTCCCATTTCACCTCTTCTTCTACGTCTCTCTCCCTATCTTCATCTCTCTCACCTCCTCTACGTTTCTCTTTGTGTTCATCTGTTTCTTATATGCTGTTGGATTACATTTAGATCCGATTTTCCCTCTCCCTATTTTCATCTCATCATGATTCTTCCTGTTATCTCTCTATTCAATTTCATCTTTCTCAGAGCAACAAAAAGTCAAGAGGAAAAACGTATACTGATACGTTTGTCGAAAAGGACTTTTACAAACCTGTTTCTTGTGTTTTTTGAACTTTTGAGAACAAAAAGGAAACAGGAGAAAAAAAAAAACAAATGTTGCCGAAAGAGTTGAAATTTATTCAGTAAGAAGCTAATTAAGTTTGAAAATTGAGTCATTTTGATGGGATTAGCAAATATTCTAATGGATTAAGTATTTTAAGGGAAACGAATTTGATTACAATTGCAATTCGAATCTCTTAAAGTCTTAACCATATGGTTTTGACATTTTGAGCACCTTTGTAAGATAAATGTGGACTTTTCTGGCAGAACTAAGAAGAATATTAAACAAGAAGGAAAAATAAGATGACGAGACATGTTACAAAGGTGAGGGAAATTATATCTTTGTCCTTTCCCTCAATTGTTTAGTTGGGAATGACATAAAGAAAAGCATTGGAGTTTCCTTCTTTTCCCCCTTTATATCCATTTATTGGAAATTTGAAAATACTATTCCTCTCTTTTTCTCTTTCTCTTTCTCTTTCCCTCTAATCAAGTAAATAAAAATATTTCCTCCCTTCTCTTTCCTTTGATTCTTTTTAAAATCAAAATGGACAAAGATCTTCTAATTGAATTCGTACATGTAAATTGAATTGTTTAAAAATTGATATGTATTTTTGTAAGAGTATTTTCAGCAGTCTGTTAAAACATTATTTTGTGTAAAATATATACTGTTGCGTATGATGTGTAAATTTTTTTTTAATCTCTGGCACAATATTACGATACACTGTCACGTCAGCCATGTGTATTTTATACTACTTTTTTACACAGCCACATCAACATATTTCTTTTCTCCTCCCTCTTTCTCATTTCATTAACAAATCAACCATATATTAAGTAGGTTTGTAAAAATTATATAGGGTCCAGGTATGACACTGATTGGTTATTATTGGAGGATATATTTTTTCACAAAAGTATAAAATAACCACTGGAACTAAAAATAAATAATCTAATTTTTTTTTTTTATGTTAAAAAAAAAAAAAACACCATGACGTTCTAATGATCTATAGTATTCCTAAACTATGCAGTTTCAAATATTTTAAATTATTAAGTGACCTGACAATTTATAAACAAATAAAATATAATTTAAGATAATGTAGGCAACCAAAATATGCAATGGTAATACGAGCAAAATTTCTATTGGTAGCGCATGTTCGAAAAGTATGATCATGCAAGTTCCTTAGACGTGTGTAAGTGTGTTACCTAATATAAGATTTGAGAAACACAATCTTAAAAATTATTACACTACCACCATATATAAAAAAATCAAGTGGATTTGACCTTTCATAAGAAATTCTACAAACTAGTAACCAACATTCAATTTTGTCTCTATATCAACATATTTATATTTCAAATAAGGGATGGAATGGATATATACCGCCATTTTCTCATTAACAGACTAGATTTTCAATTGCACTACATACATTTTCATATCAAGGTTCAAAATTTTTTATTTTTTTTGGGTAAGTAAAAATTTTGAATTAAATTTATAGGTGAAATCTTAGTCAATTGAATTTTGACATGGCATCACTTGATTCCTCCTCCTCAAATTATCCGGATTAAAATCTTATCCAGGACGGAAGTCTAAGCGGCATCACTTGATTCCTCCTCCTCAAATTATCCGGATTAAAATCTTATCCAGGACGGAAGTCTAAGCAACACTTATATTTGTCTGCAATATATTAAGCACAATGAAGATCATGTCTGGATCCGTCAAGAAATACACACTTTGGCATGCCTGTCCTAAAATTTCAGCCCATTCCGATTGGGAAGCTGCATCAGCCTCTGCAAATATTCATCTCTCCTCTGGGATCAGACTCGTTTATACATTAGTTTATAATAATTCTTTCATGGAGATTGGAGGAACATGTTCAATCTATTTATGAGACAGAAACCCCTAAAAGTGGATGAAGATTCGCACACTGGGCCAGCCTGGCCCAATCTAGATCTGTTCTGCCAGATCCGGGACTAGTTGGGCCTGTTTCCTTAGGCACATGGTCTGGTTATTAGCCCAGTTATTGGCGTTTTCTTGTGGACTAGCTGTTTTGTATATGGGCCTCGGCCTTTTCTTGTACTCCCTCCGGCCCATAAGTCATAGTTATATTTTATACATACATAAAACCCAAATCCCCGCCGAATATTACTGGACGCATGTTATGTGATGCGCACGTGTTCTATAACCGTTTGATGATAAGATATTCAACAGTAATCACCACCACAAACGGCTGTTTCGATCACAAAAAAACCCCAGTCAGCCACCAAATCGGTGCAAGTCACGTGACCTACAGCTCCGCCCTCGCTTTTTGAGGCTTCCTGTACCCACATCTCTCTTGTGCAAGGTCAAGACTTACCTACCTCAAGAAGTGGAGTGGTCTTCGACTGGAGAAGATATTGTGGATGCTTGGACACGAAATATAGTGGAACTCACGGCGTGGGTTGACGCACCTTGTTAGAATATGAGCTTCTGTGGGGCCACGCAAGTGGGTATCTTGCTTGCCCAATAATTTTTTATATTTATTTATTTTTTTGACAATTAGCACAAACTCATTATTTGAATTCTTATCCATTTTGAAAAGTAAATAAAATATTATTAGGTCAAAATTGTTACAAGAAAGAGTTCGTCTAATATTGAATCCGGATAGAATAATGAATGAGTATATATATGAATTGACTTTTACTCCATTTAATCCAAAAAAAGACAGGAATTTTGTGGGTGAGGTCTCTATATGGCGTTGGCACCAACTACATGATGTCACTCACCCCTTCACTCACAAAATAATGATAAGAGATGGCAAAAATCCCTACATATGCGAGGGCAGCCCGCCCCGACCCAAAACTGAAACGGGATGTTTTTAAGGAACAGATTATGTAAATGTGGAAGGAGATGGGGGCGGCTTCTTTGAAAACCTAGCGGGTTTTGGGACAGTTTTAGAAGAGAGTTGCCTTACCCCAAATATACTATAAATTTATTAAATTACTTTTACATATTATGATATATTATTAAAATAGGATAAGTATATATATATATATATATATATATATATATATATATTCTCGGTTTTGAGAATTTTTAGAATCAAAACGCTCCCTATGGTTCCCTATTTTTTTTCCCCTTAAATTGTATATACAACAAAAATAACAATAAAGTATTCACATTCCAAAATCCAAGACTAAATAGAGAGAGAGAATGAGAGTGAAAAATTGGTAAAATAGACCCGAAAGCTAAACTCTAGAAATTAAATTAAGGTTGAATCTTGCAGAAACTGAAAATGATGACAAATCTGTGGTTGAAAACTACAAAACTTGATATGTTATCGTTGTTGGTTGTGCTTGAAGTGTAATCGCGTCGTGAGACTCAGAGATATGTGAATTGAAAGTGAAAGAGAAGGGAAAAGAGTGTGAGAAAGGATGTCACCAATGACAGCGATAAAAGATTAACGGCAATGACCGAATTTCGAATGTTGCGTGAGAGAGATTGATCAACAATTGAATCCCACGACGATGAGAACTAAGAAATGAATGAGGCGGCGTGAGTAAAGAAAAAAAATGAGATAATGGAGGAATGTTGACATGCACCCAAAAATTAAAGCATTTTTTTTTTCCCTTAGAGCATGTGTATCGGCCTCACAACACACGCACCATTTAAGTCAGAAGTACAATTCGAAAGTAAACTTACCTCCTAAATGCCAACGCCACTATGCCCTGGGGCCAAAAATCAAAACATTGTGAGAAGCAAAAGCAAATAAAAAATATATCATATAGTGATGAATGTTGACTTACGTTTGATTGTTGTGCCGAAATTCCTTGCAAAGTTAAGAGTAGTATATAGGTATAGCTATATATATATATATATACATACACACGCATATATATATATATACACAGACACATATACATATATATACATACACATATTATAAAGGTTTGGTCTAGGCCAGTCTGGTCTTGTAGGACCCTAATCCGGGATCGAATCAAAATTTTACGATTTCATTATTTTAGAACCGTGATCGGACCGAACCATTATGGAATCGAACGGTTGACCCAAACCGTTCGATTCGGTCAACTCCGGTTTGATTTTTCTGGTTGACAATTTTTTTGCACACCCCTAATCCTCATTTTACATCATTAAAATTTATTGGTTACAAATGCACCGCGTCATTAATACAACCAATCAATAGAAACACACTATTAAAGCAAAATGATTAATTTTTTAATAATTTACTAAACGCACAATAAGGTTTATTTTTTCAAATTTTTAATTAGTTTGTGCAAAGTTATACCCATCACCATCTTTGCCTTAATTTGATTGATTTTACCAAATTCATATCCTTCATCAACCTTCCTTAATTCGATTAGTTTGACCACAATATGTAATACAAATTAATTTATTCTGATTTCACTGAATTTGAGAGCTAGGAATAGTTGAGAATGTTAGTTATATTTCCAATGAGTTATGATTCCATTTGCTTATATGAAAATAAGTAAGAAAAGAAATAAAAAATAAAATAAAAGTAAAATGAATAAAAAGAAAAATTATTTTTAACGTGCATTTTGTTAGCATGAAAATTTATTCAAAAAAATTATAGGAAAATATTAATTTGTTATTTTGGAATGCATGAAAGTGAAAATAATAATAATAATAATAATAATAATGGATTATTAAATTTAATAATATAATTATTTATATTTAAAATAAGACTTTATAATATTTTCTTAAGTAGAAGTAGAACTAATTATTAATTTAAGAGAAACGAAACTAAAAAAAACAAAAAAATATTTTTTGTTTTTTTTTTTTCTTCCGAATGGGTTGTTTTTATAAATTCAAAAATAAAAGTTATAGTACAAGATACAATAGAGCGGCATTACAAAGAACCTGAAATGGAACAATTCCATTTCCAAATAAAACTAACAACCAGCAATATAACCATTACACAACATCAAATATCTAGTAGATCAACAAGGCCAAGAGAGAAGTGTTTTTTTAAGAGAGATTTGATTGTATGTTTTTGTTTTTTTTTTAGGTAAATGGTAAGCTTGTATATAAGATTGAAGAATGTACATGGAGCCCCATTTAAGGGAAACGACAATCGAAGAACAAACATGAACAACAAACAATCCAAAATACGGTACACCAACTATGAGATTCAAAGAGGACAAACTCATTTATGATCAACAGGATAACTCTCCATCAAAGTAGTAGTATGATTATTCAAAATCAGCATGCTCGGTACCATGAGTCAAGGTGTTCGCAGGAGTTTGGCGACCAAAGGAGGCACACCCTTGCTGGAACAATGCCTGCATTTCTTGGATGGAGTGAATTTTCTTCAAATCAGAGCTGGATGTAAGCTTGGTTGTTGCAAGTCTGGCCCTAACACAACTCTTCACCTGAGCTATGATGGTAGTAAATGGGGCTGATAAGTTGTTTATAGCTCTAGCATTCCTCTCCATCCAGATAAAATAAGCAGTTGCAGCCCAAAGTAATTTGTGTACTAAGAAATATGAGGAGTTCCAATGGGCAGTACACCATTGCAGTAGCTGTGTCCAATTGTCAGGCCTGATGTAGAAACCTGCAACTTCCTGAACAAACTTCCAAATGCGAGAAGTGTAGGCACACTTGAAGAAGAGATGGTCAATGGACTCCCAAGCAGAATTGCAAAGATAGCAGCTGTTAGTGTAGTGTTTGTGGAGGACAGGTCTAGCATCGAGAGTGTTTAATCTTCCCCTCACTGCCATCCATAGTATAAGACTATGTTTAGGTATATGGTGTTTGAACCAAATTAGTTTGTGCCAATGGAAGACTGGGGGGAAACAAAAAAAGAGTTATTTTGTAGAGCACTCAGCTTCTTTGAAATCAGAAAAAAAAAAAAAATTAAATAAAAAAGTTGTTTTGCAAGATTAAGTTAACGGGTAAAATTTGAATTTCAAATAAAAAGACACTCCTTTCACGCAAAAATATTATTAATGTGTTTTGTGTAGAAAAAGTTTTCCATTATGTTTCTTTTTCCATCTATCCAAACCCCCAAAAAAAAAAGCCTTGGAAAAAAATGCTTGTGTGCTTCATAATTTCTAAGTCAATATAGTTGAATGAGAAAACCTTACTTTTAATATATATCTAAATATATATATGGATCATTTTTGTTATGCATTAAATTAATGTTATAAAAGGTGTGGTAAAGACTAAAGTAGGAGGACAGCACTGATCAAGCATGATAGATTTACTACCATGGAAAATTTTGGAGCAATGGAAACAAGATTTATCATAAAATAATAACGAGATTTGGGTAAGACGTAAACAAGGTACGGAGTGAACTAAGATTATTTTGTTTAGTTATGGACCTATGGAAGCAAATAAACGTAGAGACAGATTAATTGGTTATTATGAATCTCGAATTAGCATTCTCATACTCATATATCTGACTTTTTGGTGCAACTGAAAACAAGTATTGTTCTCACTCGATCTATAAATAGCAGTGAGTTAAGTGTAAAACCCACCAATACAACCAATATTATATATATAGCCACATTAATTATACTACAAATACTGATTTTTTGAGCATTAATTTTGATCATGGCTCTTAAGTACTACTCCTTCCCTCTCCTTTTATTTGTAACTCTCTTTTCTCTTCTGATTACCTCTTGCTCATGCTTCCATCCCAAGCGTCTTAATGTATCCAAAATCCAATCTAATTCCGGTTGGTCTCTGGCTGGTGCAACATGGTATGGTAGCTCTAATGGTGCTGGAAGCGATGGTACGTAATATATATATATGTGTGTGTGTGTGTAACGTATATATGCATGTTTGACTAGCTATGATTAATTTTTACAATATTTGATGGGTTATATATTGTTGTATATATAGGTGGGGCGTGTGGATATGGCAATGCTGTGGAGCAACCCCCATTCTCTTCCTTAATATCTAGTGGTGGACCTTCTTTGTTCCAATCAGGCAAAGGGTGTGGAGCTTGCTATGAGGTGATGATGATTCAAATACTTATACATTACTCTCTCTATATATATATATGTATCATAGACTTGGTTATTATTGTTGTTTTTATTTGATGCGAGTGATGAATTAATATATATATGTGTGGGTGTGTGGGTGTGTGTGTGGTCTCCAATATATTACAGGTAAAATGCAGAAGCAATAAAGCATGCTCTGGGGCTCCCGTAAAGGTAGTGATAACAGATTCATGCCCTGGTTGCGTCTCAGAGTCTGTTCATTTTGATTTAAGTGGCACTGCTTTCGGAGCCATGGCTAAATCCGCCCATGCAGATCAACTGCGTAACGCTGGACTCTTACAAATTCAATATAGAAGGTGGGTACATGTGTTGTGTATATATATAATATAATATGATGTGCGCCGAGTTAGTGTATGACAGGGTGTATGACAGGGCACTCGAAGTTTTTTTCTATTTTACATGTATAATTATATATGCATTTTTTTATATAATGTCTCTTTAAATTATTAATTTTTAAAATTATCTCTTAATTTTGTAGTTGTTTTCTCATTTATTTTTTAAATTCTTTAAATAAAATTTAAAATTTTCTTAATAAATTAAATTCTATTTTTTTTTTTTTTAAGTTGTCATTTTTCTAACCTTTTTTTTTCTTTTTTCTTATTTTTTTCCCTTATGGTCCCTTATATAATTTCTCCTAAACTAAAATCTTTACCCCACCCGTGGATGTGTGTGTAGTGTGTAATGAATATATGAATATTCTCTCACGAAATGCTTCACTTATTTTTTTAATGATGTAACGGTAATCCTACTGCTAGGGTAATATAATCATCTCAATTACTTTAATCCGTATTAATCAAGTTTTAATTAATTTGTTGGAATGGATGAATGGGTTTATCAGAGTACAGTGCCACTATCCCGGAGTTTCCATAGCCTTCCATGTGGATGCTGGCTCCAACCCTAATTACTTTGCTTCAGTAATTGAGTTCCAAGCCGGAGATGGTAACCTAGCCAAAGTTGATCTCAAGCAGGCTGACTCGGACTCGTGGCTGCCCATGCAGCAATCTTGGGGTGCAGTCTGGAAACTTGACCCGGGTTCCACGTTGAGACCGCCATTCTCTATCAAGCTCACTTCAAACGAGTCCGGGAAGAACTTGGTGGCAAACAATGTGATACCGGCGGTTTGGCAGCCAGGAAAAACCTATATATCACGAATCAATTTTAATGGTTAGGTTAATATATGGATATAATACAGACATTACTCATGGCCTAATTGATAGAGTGCGAAGCTCTCACCTTCAACTTAATGGACTTTGTTTTGTCTTTATAATTTAGATGTATGAATAAGACAGAGTTACCCATTAAGAGAAAGTGGGAAAAAAAAAAAAAAAACATGGTCTGCTCCGTTTTTTTTACTGTCCACCTTGTATTTGAAAGGAAATGAAATACTATTATTGTGTCACTTATTTTGATATTACATTCAATATCTTATAATTCTTACTCTTGCATATGGAAGTAGAAAATTATGAACTAGTGCTCATTTTTGTATTCAATTTTTAGAATATTACCAAACTTACGAACCAATTAATGCATATTGTGAAGGCATTTTGATGTTCACAATCCCTTCACAAAATTGAAAATGGTGTCTGTAAGGATTTGATGTTCCACCATTATTCCTTTTCCCTCTCGTCAAGTCAATAAAAAATGTCACCATCCCTTCTATCCTTTCCCTTCATTTATTTCCTCTGATTCTTGTACCCCACAAATTGATCATATAAAATTTTATAAACACAAAAAATAAAAATTAATAATAATAATAATAAAAGGAAATTAAAAAAAAAAATCACTATCACCTTTAGTATGAGCTAGGAGTGAAATTCAAAATGAAATTGGATTATTTGTATTTTGAAGATCAATTTCCTTCTCTAAGGCAATCCGCAGTGGGTTCGCGGAAGGCCCTTTCCGCGAGCCAAACCAACTTTGGGTCTATGCAGCGGGCTCTTGATAATGGTGGGGTCCAGATTGACCGCGAGCAGGCCCGCAATCGTGATATTTTTTTTTTTTGTTTTTTCTGGATTAAAACGGCGCCTTTTGGCTGCCTGTTTTTGGGCCCTTCTTGCAAGGGCTACAAATAGTAGCCAAACATATTGTTTAGGGAAAAAATAAAATTAAATTCATTAAATAAAAAACATGTTGTTTAGGCATTGTTTGTTCAAAAAAAAAAAAAAAAAATTGGGCCAAAAATATATTAAAAAACCTTTTTTTTTTTCCCCCTTAAATTTTGTTTTTATTTTTTATTTTTTGCTTTAAATTTTAAATTTGTAGGCCAAATAGTGTATTTGGCCGTTAAGACACTATTTCTACAGTACCAAACAGTGCCTTAACGGCTATAATTTTAAACAAAAAGTTTAAAAATTCAAATTTTACCTTCTTTTTTTTCCCCCTTAAAATTTGGTTTTTTTTTAAAAAAAAAAATTTGCTTTAAATTTTAAATGAGTAGGCCAAATAGTGTATTTGGCCGTTAAGGCACTGTTTCTACAATACCAAACAGTGCCTTAACAGCTATAATTTTTTTAAAAAAAAGTTTAAAAATTCAAATGTTTTAACTTTATTCAAAAAAAAAATTAAATTAAAATTTTTAAAATCTCTATAAATACCCCAACTCCTACCATCACTCATCACATCTCTATTATCTACCATTCAACTTATTTCTTCTTCTATTTTCTCAAAAATATTGTTCGATTGAAAAATATTGCCGTTGAAAAATATTGTTCGATTGAAAAATATTGCCGTAAATTTTTTATTATTATTTTTTTTGGATAGCGAAAATTCGAAGAGCCTGATAGAGTGCATGTTTCTGGAGAGCGAAAACTGCTGACGTGGCTCTTGGAATTGCTGATGTGACTCTTGGAAAAGCTGAAGTGGCATTTTTAGAGAGCCAAAATCCGGAGAGGCTGGTGCAAATGGCCTAATGCTTCCTTTTTAGAGGTCTGACATAAGGGAGAGAATGAATATTCAAATGCATTTTATTTTCATATCAAGATTCAAAAATATTTAGTTTTAAAAAAAAAAAAAAATCAAAAATATTGAATTAATTTTAAAGTTGAAATCTTTGTGCGATTGAGTTTTAGACATTATTTCTAATAATTGTTTCATGGAGCTTGGAACATGATCAATCTATGAGACAGAAGCCCCTCAAAAAGGATGAAATTTGGCCGCTGGGCCAGACTGGCCCAATTTAGATTTGGTCTGCTTGTCATTGTAAAACCATTCTTGCAACTTGGGTGGGTCAACCCAAATCCAATCAAACACTAACCTGATATTTGTTCGGATTTCAGTTACTCTCTCTGGGGCTAGTTGGCCTGTTTCCTTAGGCATTGGGTTGTTAGCCCCTGTTTTTCCTCATAATTTGGCGCTCTGTTGTGGGCCTTGGCCTTTTCTTGTATAGCTTTTCCCTTTCTCCTTACTTTATTCTTTTGTCCAACATAAACATAGTCAAAGGTTAGGTGGGAAGTTCAAACTTTGATTTTACTGCCTTTGGGTTCACTGGACCCAAGGCCCATAACAAAGCAAAAATTGACACCAAGGTTGACTTCAAATTTTTGGTTAGCAATAAAATAAAGTTGATGATGAACGTTAGTATTATTATATACGTATTACTTATGCATGCTCCCCATTTAGCCCTCTCTTGTCAAGACCTTCCAACCACTTTAATTACTTAACATAACTAATACTACTTGCTAACCGATTCCATTATATTGTGAACTGCCCAATTAAATCACCTTCACACTCACACGCCCTCAATGTTATCTCCAACCATGCTTAACCTTCCTAGAATATACTTAGCCATTAAAATAACATTTGACTTTGGAACCAATATTGTAACACACCTAAATTAAGTTTTATAAATTATATAATAACGGTGTTGGTAAGGATTTAATAGGTAAGGATTTAATTGGTAAGTCATTGATCTCGCTTTTGAATCTTACTCATAACTGAATGGCGTGTTTAAAAAAAAAAAAAAAAAAAAAAAAAACTTTATAATAACTTCTGGTTTTATTTATATAATAATACATAATGTCTTCGTCATAATGTCTTCGTCAACCACTCCGAATCAGAGTAATTAGTGATTACAAATTTAAAACTTTACCTTATCAGTGATAATAGAAAAGGACTAGAAAGAAATGATTATTTAAAGGTTATTCTTGAGCTCGGGACATAAACAAATACAGTATTGTTTTGTTACGTGAATAAAACCACATTAAGCAAAAACAATTATAGCTCGTTTGACAATTACAGTTATTTTGTGTTTTTACTTTGATCCGAAATAGAATCAATTATTCTGTTTTGAAGTGTGTTCAGTACTATTTGGAAGCCTGTTTGGTAACATGTATTTGTTACAAGATTTTTGAAAGCAAAAAATATAAAAATATGTCTTGTAAAAAAAGTATTGCAAGGCTAGTTAAAAATGTCATTTTTGAGGGGTTGTTTTTTTTTTTTCTGAACATTGTTTTGCTACATTACGGGAGCATCAATTTTTTGTTTTTGATTTTGGCCTCTTTTTTAAAAATGTATTGATACTATTCAAATTGTAACAATCAAACATGCTTTATGCTTTTAGGCAATTGTTTTTTCATGCAGTGAATTGAAGCTAGTAAATTCAAAATGTGATTGGATGGATTTCCATCTTTTAGAATGAAATTCTCGAATCACGATCATCCACAGACTGTGTGACTGGGATCCGTTTGTACAACATATGAAATAGGTTTTTTTAGTGGTTCGAATATCCTTATCCATTTTCACTAACAACCTTCTTTAATAGACTTTTAAACTAACAAACTGGCCACAATATAGATAGAGATCTGAACCCTCGTCCCCAAAGTCTATGGATGAATCCATTTTTCAAGCTTTAGAAACCAGAGGTGCAATGTTTGAGTGTACTGACTTTGGGTAATTTAAAGATAATTAGTTATAGTTTAAAATCTTGTCAATATAATTTTCCATTGGTATATAAATTAATTTCTAGTAATAAATTGATTATGCCCTTCAATATATATATATATATATATATATATATATATATATATATTAAATTATATTTGTTTTACTTTTTTATTATTAAAAAAACTAATAACTCTTCATTACATTCTGCAACATATTTAAATTAAAAAACAAAAAAGAAAAAGATTTGACGACCTATTTGAGGATCATGAGTTTTATGCCATATAACTAGAATAAGATTAGTCTTCTTCGTTAGGTTTTTTTTTTTTTTTTTTTAACCAGAATAAGATTAGTTAAAAAAGTTAATTTCTATATTGAAAGATAATTACATTTGTATGAGTTAAGTCACATAGAGCGGGAGCGAGAACGCGAGAGCGACATATCCCAAAAAATCTTAGAAAAATCTTAGAGTGGGAGCGCCGCTAGAACGCCGCATTATAAATATATAAAATATTAATTTATAATAATAAATATATGTTTTAAATAAATTTCATGCAAATAAAAAGATAGAATAGTGAATCAAATATGAGTCCATTACAACCAATACAAACTGCTTTATAAAAATGCATAAATTATTCCTATTTCCTTCAATTCAAAGAGCCCTAAATGTAATAGCAGAGAGAATAGGAAATAATGGATTGAGAATAAGACTACAAGGGTGAATCAAGACTCAATTACTAGTGAAAGAAGTTCAAGAATCACAAACCCAACACTTAATAGAGATAGAAAATTGAGAAATCAGAGATTTAGAAATTCACAATCAGAATATGAAAAGTTATTCATTCATTTATTTCTTTACTAATAAATATTGTCTAATGAAGGTAAGTTACGTTATTAAATATTAAGTATATTGTTATATTATTTGATTTTTAGACAGAGTTTACTTAATTAAATTAAATTGATTACTTTTTAACATAATTAACCTTATTTGGTCTATTTAATTTGGGAGTAAAATCGAAATTTCTCAAGATTTACATTAAATTCGTGAATTTAATGTCAAAAATCGTCGAATTCTTGAACAAAATACGTGATTTATCCTTACACAATTCGTCAAATTAAACTTTAAAAACCGGCGAATTCTTAAATTGAATTCGCGAATTCAAAAATATGAGAGCGTGAATTTTTGGCGAATTCGCTCTCAAAACGCCAATTCACGCGCGGAACAATGGAGCGCTAGTGGTTTGAGCGAATTATGTGACTTAGTGTATGAGACTTCAATATATATATATAT